TGTTTTCTCTTAGCTCCAGGGCCGTTTCCATAAAGTTGTTATGGGAAGTCACTGTTCAGTGCCACAAGAGCTTGCCATCTTCTCCCACATTAAGAATCTTGTCCATGTCCTTTGGTTGCAGAAACTGGAAGGCAGAACAGAACACGAAAAGAAAAAGTGGAACCAGGACAAGTGGATTAGAGCCTTTCTCAACTAGGTGTAATCCAGATGTTTTGAATGACATCAGCCCCAGCCCACACCTATGATTTAATACGTATTTAAGATGTGCCCAATAATCTGGTTATCATTTGCGGTAAACACAAATCAGAAAGGAACAAAGGTGTATCACATTAAGAGTCAGATCAGGATACGCTGGACATACCTAAAGAAATATTAAGAAAACACCAATATTTATGCATGGAACAGTGCTATTCAGCCATCAAATGCCTGAATAAACAGGATGAGGATGTTTTCAAATTTATCCTGATAATAATGATGGAGACAGGTGCACCTCATTAGGCAGCACAGTACACAACCAGGGATCCACCACTGGGGCCTTCTCAACTGAGGCCCTGCCAACTGTGCAGCCCATTGTAGCAGCAGCACAAACGAGGCCTCACTTGCTGAACACAGGGCCCAAAATGGTTGGGAAATGTGTTCTTTTGGGTACTTGGGTCCTAAGCCACTTAGGGTTTTATATGCTAGTACTAGCTCCTTGATTTGGGTCCAGTAGTTCACTGGAAGACAGGGCATTGCTTTCAGGACTGGTGTCACAGGGTTGCCCACAAGCAACAGCCTCCAGACAATCTTCAAGGGCAGCCCCACGTAGGCTACATAGCAGTAGTCCAAGTGGAAGGTCACTAGAGCATGAACAACTGAAGCCAGGCTATCCCTGACCCAGAATGGCCTTAACTGGCAAACCAGCCTAAGCTGGGGGTAAGCACTCTTACCCACAAAAGTCATTTGAGACTCAGTGACAAGTTGGAATCCAGGAGTACTCCCAGATTATGAACCTGATTCTTCAGTTGGAGTGTACCATCCCTCAAAACAGGATATACATCTAATTTCCAAAACGTAAGGTACACATGGGAACCACCCCCACACCTGTCTTATCCTTCATTACTGGATGAAAAACTCAAACGCCTCGTTTGGTTTCTGCTGAAGTCTTTAATCCACAAATCTGATGGGTGCATAGGCAAGTGACAGGTTACAAGATTCAGCAGGTGCATAAAGGTAAAGATACATGTTGCTGTTGTTGGCATCCCTTTGTCTTGAGAGACAATGGTCAAACGGCTGTGCTGGCAGCACCATGGTGACCTCCCTGGGTAGCAGCTGGGGCAGTGCGTATGGAGGTCCTGGGCTGCCCAGACGACAATAACCCCCTCTTGGGCTCACTGTTGTGGTCCAAAGGAAAGCAGAACAATACATTTGGCACCAGCTTGGCTACAGGAGTTGCCAGAAGGAGGTGTACAAGATGCCATGCAACCGCCTTAGGGACTCCACCCTTGTGAAGGGTTTACTCCTTAGCCTTTTCTTCTCCCAAAGATATCCTGCAAAGCAGCAGAGGTTATGGGTCAGATTTTTCCTTCTCCTAGATGGACTACGTTCCCAGGTTGAAGAGCCCCACCTGCCCTTCACTCCCCCCCTACAGGATGCACATAAACCACCTTCTTGACAACTGGGCCTGCTATTGGTCTCACCCACTCAAAGGGACACGGGTGGCACTGTGGGTTAAACCACAGAGCCTAGGACTTGCCGATCAGAAGGTTGGTGGTTCGAATCCCCGTGACGGGGTGAGCTCCCGTTGCTCGGTCCCTGCTCCTGCCAACCTAGCAGTTTGAAAGCACGTCAAAGTGCTTCCGGTGGGAAGGTAAAGCCGTTTCCGTGTGCTGCTCTGGTTCGCCAGAAGCGGCTTAGTCATGCTGGCCACATGACCTGGAAGCTGTACGCCGGCTCCCTCGGCCAATAAAGCGAGATGAGCGCCGCAACCCCAGAGTCGGTCACGACTGGACCTAATGGTCAGGGGTCCCTTTACCTTTACTCCATCCCCAAGAGCCTGTCTTCACATGCTGGGCAAATCCCTAACTCAAGCTAAGATATTTATCCAACAAGCAACACCCCCCCCATACCTTCATTTTTTGAAGGGCAGGCAGAGAGCACTTAGTGTGGCAAGCAGCTAGAGTCCTGGGACTGGGCAAGCAGATGGACACTCCTTCAAGTGAGTTGAGCTTACAAAGTTTGTTTGCACTGGTGCTGGGGTCCCCATGTCCTTGGAGATGGAGGTGGGACAGGTGTCAGCTCAGCATCCAGTTTACTCTCCTCACTGGCAGGAGGCACTGAGGAGCAGCTCCACAACAGGAGGTATCTGAGATGGGGAGTCTGTTTCCATAGGGGCAGTACACTCCTCTGCCAACCTGCTTGGTCCCTCCCCTAGATCCAGCTCTCTATTCCCTGTAAATACTTGCACCCTCCCTGAGCTTCTTAGGGTCCCTATTGCATCTCCCACCCACCCCCACCCCCATGCTAGGATCCTCCCTGGGGTTATTCAGATCCAACTCTTTATTTCACACAGCTAAGGTAACTGAAATGGAATCTCATGCACAGATTTTCTTTAGATTAGCATTTGTGAAGTTGAAACAATGTTTCTAATCCACCTTTTTTTGTTTGTAATCACGGGCGGACTGATTGGAACTGGAGAACCAATTAACAGATTCCTGATAAGTGCTATAAGCATGCTCTGAAAAAAATGGCTAACAGAACATTGCTTAAAATGTTCTAAAGGTTGGCTAACCTAGCTACTACAGTGCCTGCGGACTGGCGATTCTCACCTAGTACTGATGACCGAAACAAACTAACAAGACACAATCTATTTCTAGATAGGGAAGGATACAATTGTAGGCACTTGGTGCAGCTTGGCAGCTGAGCATGATTCCTTAGATGCAAACCTGAGTTCAGTGGTTCCCCAGTAAAATGTGCAGCTACCTAGTTAAACAAGGCAAAATTAGGCAAATTTGTGGAGCCTAAGGCTACCAGCATCTACTAGGCATGATGTCTATCTATGTATCCTCACTTTCAGAGGCATTACATCCATGAATGCCAGTTGCTAAGAATCAAAGGTGAGCAGAGTGGCATCTGGTTGGCCGCTCTGAGAACAGGATGCTGAACTAGATGTGCCACTGGCCTGATCCAGCAGCGATCTCCTTATGTAGCTCCCTAGACACTATTTGCTGTGAATGCAGTGCTGAACATATGGCGAAAATAAGGGGAAACTGTGGGTCTTTTTTTGTTCATTCTGGGTATTTCCCCTTCATCTTTTCGCCCATAACAGAGTAGGCTTCGCCCAAGCTGTATGATGACATCATTTTTTTAAAAAGACAAGACAAAATAAAGAGTCACTACTCCTGCATTTGTATAGGGCAGTGAGGAAGAATACAAAGGACAATAATTTTATTTATTTTTCACAAAATTTAGATACTGATTGGTTGTTAAAAAACAACAACAACCCTCAAAGTGGTTAACAAAAAGAATAAAACAATGAAATTGTCAGTAAAACAGAGTTAAAAGCAACAATTAAAAACCTTCAAAAAAGAATGTGGTTTGTTGTTGTTGGTTTTGCTAAAAACAAGATTAAAATACATGTCAGCATAACCACATGTCTGGATAGACTTGCCTAAACAGAATTTTTTTTTGTAGCAGTCACCAGAATGTACCTGCCTGATGTGAATAAGCAGGGTGCTCCAAAGTATGGCTGCCTCCACGTCAAAATATTTTCTTTACGAATGCCATGAGCAGGGCCAGCACAAGACATTTTGACACATGAGGCAAACCACAAAATGGCACCACCTCACCAGGGAAGGAGGGTTGAGTCTACACAACAAGATCAAGCTGGGGATAAAGATCTACACTGGGAACGGGGGGGGGGGGATAAAATGAACCCCAGCTGATGGTTGAAGGAATGGGAGGGGAAAGGTGGGTGCAGAATCCAGGAGACCCCTAAGGGTGGGAGGAGACCAGAAATGCCTCCCATTGGCTGAGAGGCCCCTATAGAGGGGGGCCTGCTGAGGAGGGGGCAGATCAGGCCTCTAAGGAGCGTGTCGCTGCTGTCACTGCCACTGCAGTAGCAGCTGTGGGCAAAACATTACCTGGAGGCTGGATCTGCTGCCCCTGTGGATCCTGCCGCCTGAGGCAGTTGCCTCACCTTGCCTCAAGAGAGGGTCTGCCCTGGCCAGGAGTATTATATGGTACCTGTAACAATGTCAGTGATACCGAAGGAAGATATTCCGCAGAGACTCTTACTCAGATCTATTCCCCAGATAGATCTTGCTCAATTGGTTCTTCCTGGCACTGGTGCACTCTTACGTGTTGGCATCTGTCCATCTCAAGAAACAATGGAGTGCACCTCCAGGGGTGAAGTTGAACCGCTGTGTTAGCAGCACTGAAATGACCTCCCTGGGGTGCAAGCCTGAGCAGTGTGCGTGGAGGTCCTGGGCTGCCCAGACAACAAGACTCGCCTCTCAGCCTCACTGATGTGGTCCAAAGGAAAGAAGAGGTATATGTTTGTCACCAGCGTGGCTGCAGGAGTTGCTGAAAGGAGGGCATACAAGGTGCCATTGCCATCCAATTGTCTTAGGGGCTTAGGGTTTATTCCTTAGCCTTTTTTTCTCCTGAAGGTGTCCCACAAGCAACATTTTAATCAAGTTATTGGAATGATAGGAATCAAGGAAGGCTTGGAGAGGAAAGACAAGTTTAAAACACATCCCTAAAAAGTGTGTTGCTGCCAAGGTTTGAAGGCCAGGTTGAAGGTGTTATCTGATGTGCAAACTGAGCAGAAAAGGTCCTTCACAGTATGGAAGCGTGGGAATCGCCTGCATGTGGTTAGGAAAGCAAAACCTTCGCACTGCTGCAAGCCCCGCCTCACCGCCCCTCCACCCGTTTCTTTTCTACCCACACTTGGAAGCTTGCCTAGTTAGGAAAGCCAACAGGAATGAATGGACTTGGGGAGGCTCTGAACGAGGGTTGGGCACTAAGACCGCCGCGGCTCCCTTTCCGCCCAGGGTGGATTGCAGAAGCGGAGAGGAGGAGAGATCTCCAGACACGAGAGGAGGTTATAGGAAGAGGATAAAAGCAATGCTACAACAAGGATATAGCTGAGAGAGAGAAAGAGGGGCGAAGAAGAAAAGAGAAGGTGGTGGATGAGGCCGTGTGGTGGGGATACCTGACGAGACGCTGAGCGGGGGGAAAGGGGGGCCTTTCGCAGACCTTGTATTGTCAGCCAGGCGTAAGGAAGCTTCCCCTCCAAGATCGTTCCAATGAACATGTCAGTGTTGACTCTGCAAGAATACGAATTCGAGAAGCAGTTCAACGAGAATGAAGCGATTCAATGGATGCAAGAGAACTGGTGAGTGATGATGGTGGTGGCGGCGGCGGCGGCAGCTCCGGGCGAGCCGGTGCTCTCTGGCTGCGAGCAAAGCGTGTGCGTCTCCGGGTGATGCTCTCGCTCCCTCCCTCCTGCCGTGGCAAGGATTACAAGCGAAGGAGGGAGGGAGCGGGGCGAGCGGTGGCGGAGGGGAGAGAATGCAGATCGCCCAATGTGCCCAAGACGCCTCTGTGCGTCCGGGGCGCGCGCGCGTGCGCCACAGAGTGCATTATTGGCGTGTGGGTCGGCGCGCATCGCATGTAGGTAACGCTTTCCGTGAATGGGTCTAGTGTTGGGAAGCCTTCCAGGCTGGAACAAGAACACCACTCTCTTCTGGGGGAGACAGGCTCCTGTTGTTTATTTGGATGCCTATACTGTATATAGATATATTATATAATAGAGCACATCTCCCACATTGTTCCTCGTCCTTAGAAACCATCTGCTTCTCCAGCACCACCGTTTTGCATTAGGCCCTCGCTCTGTTTCACCCATTGCGCCCCATGCGTCTTTAATTCGCACCCTCTCTTCTGTTGTGACTCCTAATTTTACTCGGGGTCCTTTACCTCCCCCCACGCCTTACCATGCATGTTTCCTCTCCCCCCACCCCCTTTTGTATGTGTGTAGGAGGTGAATACAGGCTTGTTTCGATCCATGCAAAAATTAAAAAAACCCTCCTCGCTTCGTTGCTGATAAAGAAGCCCCCGTTCCCAGCATCTCTCGGTGGGGCTGGGATCACTTTTGCGTTATAGCCGTGCATGTAAGCGCGGGGTAGATTTCTGTGGATGGGTTTGGAGAGGATGATGAGAGGAGGGGTTCCTCTTCCTGCCGCCGGTTGCCTGGAAGGCAGGGAGGGGCTGGGAACTTGGGAGCCGAGAAGTAGTAAGGCTGGTCACATTCAGCATTTCAGGTAAAGCAATAGTAAGAAGGGGAGAGGGGCAAATGTAAAATTATACGCATTTGCCGCTGACGAAGTGGCCTGCATCTTCTCTGACTCTGCCGTAGGAGGGAGTTTCTGCTCACAGCTAGACTTTAGGCTAGACTCGTCAGGTGCTTTTTTTATTTTATGGCGGTTTCTGCCTCCCTGCTGCCGCGATCCCAAATCTGATCTCCATCGAGATCTCTTGCTACAATAAAAGTCTCGGATAGAATGTCCTTGGCTTAAAAGTGCCTTGGATCCTGACAGCCTTCTCAAAGTAAACTTTGACTTGCCACCCCAAGAGGACTGAAAAATGCATCCTTTTTTCCCCATTTTGAGGATGATGGTGCGCATCGGAGGGAGGAAAATGGAGGGGGGAAGCTTTCCAGACAGAGGCTCATAGCAACCCCCCGGATCTAGCCTGAGCCGGCCAGCGAGACTGTGTGTCTATGCGCGCGCGTCTTTCCTCAAACAAGCACATGCCGTTGTGGGCGAATCAGTGGGGAGACGGAGAGGGGAAATGAGGTGACGCCATGGGAGCCGCTGCGCGGACAGGGCTTACTTTTGAGCCCGGGCTCGGTCCCTGAACCTATTTTTGTAACGCCGGGACCATGCAAATCAAGTCGGAGTGGCCAATTCCTCTGCGCATGAGCAGAGCGCGCTCCCACGGAGTGACCCAGGCCGCCGGCACACCGTGGGAGGGGAGGGGCCGGGTTAGGTTGAGCCCTGGCATCTGTTGTCTTAGAAATTTCGCTTTGAAAGGAGATGGGTGGAGAAGGCAACCCCCTTTCCCTTCATGGAGGGAGAAGGATGGAGCTGATCGTGTGTGTCTGTGTCTTCTCTTGTCCTCCTGGCCTGCTTCTGCTGCTGCGACCTGCGGGGATCCGCCATCCTTCCAGACATAAACACGTGCTTGCCCCTAGCCAGTTCACGCTCTCTCAGGTTTAAATCTGCCATCCCGCTCCGCCCCTTCTTCCTCCTTTAAGTAGGCCGGGCCTGCTGCTTTGGCAAGCCTGCAAGCTGGCGAGCGGCGAGCGCGCTTGCCAGGTAGCAGATTCGCCCTGGCGCGCCCCGCGTGCAAAATCTCTCCACCCCGCTCTCTTTCTCTCGGTCGTCACGCAGCATTCGCCTGTCCTCACCTGAACTGCAGCAGCTACATGAGGGAGGTCAGCAGATCGGTGGGGTGAAGTGTCTGGGTCCTCCCAAGAGCCAACGAGGGCACCGTTGCACAACGGTGCCACGAGGTAGTCATCCCTGCTGGGGTGAGGAGACCAGTCTGTGTGCTGATCAGGTTGGCATGCAGGCAAGTGCGCGGCTCGCTACGATGCTCCTTTCCACACCTGGCACAGATCTGCCAGACGATCGATTTGGAACTCTCCTCAGACGAGGTTGCCAACTGTCTAGATTTGTCTGTTTGCATTCTTGGCCCCATTTCACGGCGGTTTGACCTGCAGCAGTCATCAGGTGAGACTTGGGGGAGGGGGGGGGTAGAGCCAGACGTGATCACCTGATGAGCAGGTCAAACCGCTGCCAAAGGGGACATGCCAAAAAAGATATACTCTTTGTCTGGCAGCTTAAATATTCTCCCTGTCTCTCCCCCTGTCCTCCTCTACTCTGTGCAAACTTTTGACTTTTAGTCAACTTTTGTACTTCTTTTAGCCAGCAAACATTTGTTGTGTGAGCTGTGGCCCTCTCACTTTCAGGTAGTGTGGCAGCCTTTGCCAACCTGGTGCCCTCCATATATTTTGGACTACAGCTCCCATCAGTACCAGGCCAAATTCATAGAATCATAGAGTTGGAAGGGACCCTGAGGATCATTTAGTCCAACCCCCTGCAATGCAGGAATATGCAGCTGTCCCTGACAGGGATTGAACCTGCAACCTTGGTGTTATCAGCACCCTCCTCTAACCAACTGAGCTATCCATACATTTAAAGTGCTATAATACTGCGCTAAAAAAGCACGGGTCCCCCCAAAGTATTCTGGGAGCTGTAGTTTGTCAACAGTACTCAGTTGTTAGGAGATGCCTTCTCCCCTCACAAGGAGTTCCCAATGCTCCATGTGAAGATTGGCTTATTGTAAAAACCACTCTGGGAACCAGCTGTGGGAGACAAATATGGGTCTGCAAACAACTCTCAGCACCCTTAACAAACTACAGCTCCCAGAATTCTTTGGGGAAAGCCTTAAAATACTTTAAATGTTATCATAGTGCTTAAAATGCATGGCATGAATGTGGCTTCAACATGATGGGAGTTGTAGTCTGTCTGGAGGGCACTAGGATGGCAAATGTTGGTGTAAGGCTTGGCCCTTCTATATGTTCTCTTCTCACCCCTACCCTGCAAAAACCCCTGGTTCTTAGATTTCTTTGCTCCGTTACTTTTCTTCAGCAGCACTGCTCACTAAAAAAAAGCTGAGAAAGGGGGATGCATCTCCTTTTCCCACTGTCTATTGCTAGAGGGTTCTTCCACAATAAATTTATTCATTAAATTTATATCACACATCTTCAACACACTCAAAAGTTCCCAGGGCAGCAAACAATATGAATGTAATAATAACAAAAGTACAATAAAAAAATCTTGCAAAAAATAAAGAAAAGCCATCTATCAAAACCAGTACAAGCAGCTCTTCTTGGCAGTTTGGAAGGATAGAAAATCTAGGAAGTAATTCATTGACCTTAAGAATGCTCTTTTAACAGTAAACTGGTGGGGGCACTGAGGACCTTCAGCACATCATATTGCAAGCTCTTTCTTGATGGCTGTACTGAAGACTGTGACAGTATTATACTGAGCCATCTAAATTTTAATGTCTTTAGAACATTCATATCCCTCCTTTAATTTTTTTGAAAAATGAATTTTAAAATGAATTCTCATATCCATCTGTCTCCCCAACAGCTTCCCTGGTGGGGGTGGTACTGGTTTCATATCCTGAGCCCCCCTCATCTGCAGCAGCTCAGAATTTCATGCCCTCCTTGACTGCCATGGGCCTGTCTCAGTTGATCTTGTGATGTCACACATGTTTGATGTGGTCCATCTGGGATAGGATGGTGGTGATCTGGGGATGACAGTTACACTTAATTGTAATTAATTATCCTTAACTGGTAGCATCTAGGCTTCCTGAGATGCCTAACCTCTGCAGGGGTGAAGGGCCAATTAAAATGGTCTGTCTGCAGACACTGATGGATCCCTGACTGCTCTGGAGGATGAAGTTGTGGCTGGGGCTTCATTCCTAATACCTCAAGCACCCTCTCCTGCCTGCAAGTGCTCCTGCTCTTTGGTTTACTGAAATGACTGAAGATGGCGTAGGGTGATGGTAGTTTGATTTGTATTCCAGGTAACCTTTGGGATTGTGCTGGTATGACATTGATTTTTGCCTATGCTGCCTTGTGTACTTTTGTAGAAAGGCAGGACATAAATACAACAACAACAACAACAACAACAACAATAATAATAATAATAATTAATTGGATGAAGATTTTTGATACATCAAACACAAGCTTTAGATCATTTTAGAGACTACTCTATAGTTATGATGGCAGCAAAGAAATCTGAATTCTCTGCTGCCATCGCATCAGTTCAGTGCCAGCCAGCAGAGCTTTTCCCAGTGGTTAGGACCTTATTTCATCTGGAGCTAACGAACTTTTGAAAACCCGCTTTGAGCAATTATTTTTAAAAACCCAACACTTTGCTGATAAAGTTGCCCATATCCGCTCCAACTTCACTCTGCATTTAAATCATGAGCAATGTATGTGCCCTTGATACCAGCCTGACATATTCTGATTGACACATTTCAGTTTCTTCAACCTGTGGATGTGGACAAGTTGCTTGGAGCTTTGAGACCAAACCTGTTATTGTTGACCTTGTCCATCCTGGCTGGTGAAAGCCACTAGCGGAGCAAGATGGCAAGATTGGTTAAATCTTACCTTTTGCAGAAGGTACAGCACCATCTACTTTAAAGCAAGCAGTAGTAAGACCTCAGTGGACCTTGCCACTTTAGACAATTCTAAGCCAGTCTCTCATTTCTTCATTTCATAGCAAATTGCTCCAATGAGTGGCAATGACTCATCTCCAG